GTTTTCCTGAAATATTAGTACACACAAGAGCAAAAACAAGTTTTCCAAAAAATGTTAAAAGATACAACACATAAAACAATAATATTTGGAATCATCAAAACTATACAAGTTGCAAGAATGTAAAACATGCAAATAGCAACTTTCCTAACAAAATCTAGTTTATCTAATTTTAAAAGATAATAAAAAAAATTAGCTAAATAGAAATATAATAGTTTGATATGATCCATAATTTAGTGAGGATATTATATATAATTAATGAATATTTATGAGTCATACAATAAATAATAGATAATTTATATTAGTCAAACATTATCTAAAAATAATTTTTATTAGGACATCATAAAATATTTAAATAAAATAAAATTTTCAAAATTTATTTAAACTATTCTTCAACTTTATTTTTTATAACTATTTTTAAGCATTTTTAAGAAATTTTTGTATGAAAATCTGCTTCAGAAAACAATAAAAAATTACCCCAAACAAATCCTTCTTCGTCCTAATCCACCATCTCTAGAAGTCATCATCCAACGACAATCCTCCCAATCCTCCTAGGTATTTAAATAAATAAATAAATAATAAAAAATTTCCTAGACAAATTAAACCCTTTACCTTGTACGCAGTGCGTTGACAAGCTTCTCAAAGACTGTTAGCATCATGCAGAAAGCTTCAGCCAGCTCTTCTGGAATTGTATTTATAGAATAGTTTTGCTTATAAAATGTCAAAGCTTATGAGTTACGGCATACCTAACTAATATAAGGCTTGACTTTGACTTCTTATGTATTAATTGCTTCTTCGAGGAAAAAAATTATTCTGTGCAGAATTGGACGGCGCTGTTCAAAGATCAATCAAAATGCGCCACATCATTTTTTTTGCTTGGTATCAGTTCTCAATACCACTCGATACGAATAATATGATGCGCTTTGATTGATCTCTAAATCGTCCTGTATCCGCATAGAATAATTTCTCATTACTAAGATCTATTTATTTTCTAAAGCTTGTCAAGCAATATTGGCAACATATGTAGAGGAAACTATTGCAAAAATATTCTTATTGAGGGTGTTAAGAAGTCATGTCAAGGTCGGGTCATTATTGACTTTATATTAGGATTTTTTAATTAATTAATTGTGCTCACAAGCTCGCTTACTATAATAAAAGAGAAAGAAGAAACTATTTAAAATAAGGAAGGGAAATAAAATTTTAAATATTTTTAGCAATTTTATATTGAATTTATTTGATTTTCATAATTTTTAAGTGTATTTAATATTATTTTTTTTTTTTATTGAGTGCGCACACAAGTTGATGTGCTGAGTTGGGGTTGGCTTGGTCAAGCTTGATTTGTTAGCTCATTGAGCTCGGCTCATGAGCCATTTATCAGCTCGAGCTTGTGCTGACTCTTGATTATAGTTGATTATGGGTGTTAATAAATGGCTCGACCTGCTAAACTGAACCCAACCGATTAGAAAATTCTTGTTTTGAGTTGACCAGTTTAATAAATGGCTCGAGCTCGGGTTGGGTTTTTCAATACAATTATTAAATGGTATGGGTTTGGGTTCAAGTTGAACTAAAACTTATTTTTGACCTGAAAAATAACTCGTTTAATATTTTTTCTTAATTTTTTAATGTGGGTATAATCTTCAAACATCCTAAAATTAAAGTTAATAAGTTATTAAAAAAAATTAACCAAAATGAGTTAATGTGTCAAGCTTAGGCCATTCAGTTTGTTAGCGGATTAGGTTCGGGGTCTTTACACTAGTTTATTAAACTGGTCATGTTTTGATTGATTGGTTTCATGTTAGGTTAATTTTGGATTGGACATGAACTCGGTCGGTCAATTCATTTTGACACTCCTAAATTGACTCTATCTCACCTCTATTTTTTTTATACATTTTAAAGTAGAGAAAATTTGAATTAGTATATTATAATCTAAATTTAGTTGAACATATTTTTATCCCTCCTTCACTATATTGAAAATGCAAGAAATATTGAATTGAAAAAAAAAAAAGAAGATAAATTCTAAAATCACCAAGGGATGGAACCCTTAATAAAAAATGAGGAAAAAACTATCAGCTCGTCTTGCAGTATCGTGACACCATGTTTGGAATGTTGTGGCGCTCCACTTTCTGTCTACAATCTGCATGATAGAGCCCTAGCACTATAGTTTGAAGCGCCGCAGTGCTCCAGTCTCTATTTGTCTCCAAGCAAATTAAACGACATCGCAACGTTAGGGTACACAGCGTCACAACGTTGTACAACTGTATATATAAAAAAAAATAAACCCAAGCTGGGGAGGGCTCCTGGCCTGCAACCCCCCAACAAGCTCGACCAATAAAATTGACGTTCAAAACAATAATACAACGTAATTGATCGAGACAATCAGATTGCACACAAAATTAATAGAATTTGCATAACACAAAGCTGAACCGAAACAATGACAACAGTAACAGCTCACCTGCACATCATGTCCTTTCAAAAACTGAATAACAAACACTTGCTTATATATACTAATGTAGGTAGGTGGTTTTTTTTTTTTTTTTTTTTTTTTTTTTTTTTTTTTTTTTTGGTTGAAAAACCTGTTTTTTTTTTTTTTTTTTTTTTTTTTTTTTTTTGAAATTTTGGGGCTAAAAGCCCATCTATCTATTAAGAACATAAAACAACATTACAAGTAAGAACTGTAAATGTAAAAGAAGAAAAAGCCCAACATAAGTAAAACAAGTAACTTATGCGGAAATAAAAAAATCACAACTATACCACCCAATATCTACAAAAAGATTTGTGTAGTACCAAAACATGGTAATCGAGGCAAAATCATTGAGGACTCAGGCTGCTGACCAACTGAATACACGATTGATGAAAAAGAGAAGCCTCCAAAAAATCCCCTGGTTGCCGAAGAACGACCATCCTATGGGAGAAAGGTCCAGCAGTACTCATCATTGTCCCCATAAATACTCTCAGGGCCCGAAGCAGCTTTCCTGGCACCCAAAAAGGTAACCAGGGATGAAATCCGATAGATCCAGTAGTCATAAAAATGCCTGCACCAAACGCCAAAGAGTAGCAGTTTCCAGCAATATCCCCAATCACATTAATAAGAATATATCTCACAGAACAGCCTAAAACCATATAACCCCAAAAATACCACCAGCAGCCCCCAATCAAAGCAGCTCCATTAAGGCATAACCGTTTTTCCATTTCAGCAATTTAGATAACACAACACCTTTTATTTGTGGCTTAAGGTAGTAGACGAAGAAGAAACATTGCCAAATTTCCTATCATTCCTTTCTCTCCAAAGATGATAAATAGTACAGCAAATGATTAGGTAGTAAAAATGCTTTAAAGCGCTAAACTGATGGTTAAGGCATTCAAAAGCTTGCAAAATATTAGGCCTAAAAAGTTGTTGTGCCATACTAGGTATGAGATTTGAGATTACTAAAAAAGAGTAATCACACTCAAAAAAAAGGTGCGAGATGTTCTCAATGTGATTGTGGCAGAGGGAGCAAGCATTAGGAACCGTAATCCCTCTAGAAATTAGAACATCTGCAGTTTTTAAACCTCCCCTTAATGCTATCCAACTAAATGAAGAAAATCTCAGACAATGATGTTTATGCCAGATGAAATGATCCCAGTTACACAGCGGCTCACTCCTATAAAGAAATTTATAATAAATGTTATGGGCATTACTTTTTTCCCCCTCCCAAGTAAGACAAGCAGCATTATGACCAGCATTCCCCCCATCAATTGCAGGAAGCAGACAACAAAGGAGGCAGATTCCAACCATTATCATTCATAATAACAGACAACCGAGCATTAGCAGGGAATAGAGTGAGCAACGCACCCAAACCAGCAGAGTCCTGAAGAAGAGCACGGTTGCACCAATGGTCCCAATATAAGGCTATGTGGCCTTTACTAGAAGGATTGAAAATGAATTTCTCCTTAGCTTTATGGGCAATAAAACAAATATTCTTCCATAATTTGGTTGACTTGACAGTGAGGGGTTTCCAAGGAGAAACATACTTATGAAAAACCCAAGAAGCAAGTGGACTGCTGAAGTTGTACAATCTCTTAATAAGAGAATAATTAAAACTAAATTGCAAAGAGTGTATAGACTGTAACCCAAGACCCCCATTAGCCTTAGGATTACAAGTATCTTTCCAAGAAATAAGATGCAATTTAGAAGCCCTAATGTCCCCAAAGTAAAGAAATTTGGGGCACAATTTCTCGATTTGCTTAGCTATGGTTTTAGGTATTATCGAACCTCGTATCCAATAGGCAATGGTATTCCAAATAGTGAACCGAAGAAATTGCAGCCGACCAGCAAATGAAAGAGCCTTAGCTTTCCAACCAGATAACTTTTGAGTGACAGACTCCATCAATTTAGAGAAGTCAGAAACTTTTGGATTGTAAGTAAAAATTGGAATCCCAAGGTAGGCTATAGTAGTGGAAGTACAGGGAATCTGAAGAATTGTGCTGATCTCATTTGGATTATGACAGTATTTGGAGAGAAAGAGAGTACTTTTCTGATAATTAACCTCAAGCCCAGAAGCCATGGAAAACCTATCAATCACACGGCATAAAACTTGACAATTAGGAGCATATACTTTACCAAAAAAAAGGAGGTCGTCATCATACATCAAATGAGATAACCTAATACCCTCCACCATATGAGCTACAAAGGCATTATCATTATCCAAAATGCAAGAAAAATAATCCATCACAATGCAAAAAAGATAGGGGCTTAACGGGCACCCCTGCCTCAAGCCAGCCGTAGAGGGAAAAAAACCGTGAATGGCTCCATCAATGCACACAGAAAACCAAACGTCATTAATACAAGCATTAATCCACTTGATGAAAGAGGGAGGGAACCCCTTTTGGTGCATCCTAGCAAGCAGAAAATCCCTTGATACGCAATCAAAAGCTTTTTTAATATCTAATTTGGCACATAACATCTTAAATTGAGGGGTGTTTCTTGAATGAAAAAGAATCTCATTGGAAAGAATAACATTGTCCGTGGATACCTGATTTTGAATAAAACCAGATTGGTTTTCTTTAATAATAAGAGGCATGATAGGTTTCATCCTTAGATCCAGAATTTTTGCAATGATTTTGTAGACCGTATTGCACAAAGAAATAGGCCTGAAATCAGAAATCTCTTCAGCATGGTTTGATTTAGGGATCAAAGTGATGGCAGTAGCCTTAGCAGATTTAGGAATGTAGGCATTATGATAAAAATACTTCACAGCTTTGCAAATCATAAGCCTAGTAACAATCCAAGATGATTTGAAGAAATCAAAATTAAAGCCATTCGGACCAGGAGTAGAATTGGAAGCACCAGCAAAAATAGCCTTCTTAATTTCTGCATCAGTAAAAGGAGTAGTGAGAAATAAAATATAATTAGGAGGAATGATTTTACTCATCGGGAAGTGAAGGATGTCAAAGGACTGCCTCCTAAGAGGATTGTAAATCCTTTGAAAGTGAGAGATAGTATTCTTGATAACATAAGCATAAGAGAGATCAGAATTTGACATAGCAAGTGAAATGGCAGCACTCCTATAGTTCCTCCTAAGATGAATCTTAGAATATAGGAATTTAAGATCATCTTCTCCTTTAGAAAGCCATTTAGTTTTTTCCCTTTGAGAAACCCAAGAATACCAGGTGGAAGAAGCCTCAGCTAATTGCACATTTATAATTTTAAGAGATCTGGAAATGCTCTCAAAATCACAGTCCTGATTCAACAAACTAAGACATTCCCCTTGATCCCTATAAAGAGAGTCAAGATGGGAAGCAACAGGTTTAGAGGAAGCCCAGGATTCCTTCTTAATATCAGTTTTTAATTGCTTAAGCATGGCACATAATGCCGCAAATGGTTGACCTCTAGGCTTCACAGAAACATTAGCCAACAGCAAATACCAAAAGTATTTAGATTTTAACCAAAAATTCTTAAAAAGGAAACGGTGCTGGGAGTCAACCTGATTACCCAGGAGGAGCACAATGGGACTGTGATCGGATCCAGAGGGGGATTTAATAACATAATGAGACTTTGGATAAGCAGCCAACCAGTCCACATTAATAAGCATCCAGTCTAACTTAATATGAATTGGATTCACCGACCTTTGGTTGAATCAGGTATAAGAATACCCCACAGAAGCTAAATCAAACAAATTGGCATAAAAAATTAGGGAATTAAAATCAAACAGTTTGATTTTTGGTGAAGGCACATTCCCCCCCCCCCCCAATTTTTCAGATGGATACTGACAGCAGTTGAAGTCTCCCATAATAATCCAAGGTGTCCCCGAACTGGGACAAATGCTTTTAATCTCATCCCAAAGAACCTTCCTTTCCTCATTATTCGAAGCATATACCACAACAAGCAGAAATGGTGCATTGTTCCCATAGCAAACCATACCAGCAATCAATTGATTAGAAATAAACAGAGGATTAAAGACAATCCTACCAGAATCCCACTTCACCCAAATCCTGCCAGGATTGGCACAATGGAAGTTATGGCAGCTGTCTTCAAAATCGAACACCCGGTGAGAATTGAAGAAGAAAGGGTCAGTCAAAGTAGAAAGTTGAATTCTATTTTCAAGAATACAGAGCATATCCAACCGCAAAGAATGAACCAAATTTTTGCAATTGAACACTTTATCAGAGGAAGAGAATCCTCTAATGTTCCACGCGCCAATAGAAGGGCTGGTCATTTGGACTTTGATTTCGGTGTGGGGGCGCTTCTTTGCTCCTTTACCCCTGGTGGATTTGGGTAAAGGGTTAGATGTAGTTTTGGAAGTGGATTGAATATTTGTAACATCTGCAACCTTGGGAGAATCAAGGGTAGAGTTGTCTACCCCCTCTAAATTACCTTGCTCTTCACAATTTTGTAGAGTATCAAATTGATTTTTTGTGGGAATGAGAGGGTTATTTAATGAATTGGTAGACTTCTGCTCCAGGTTACCAATACATTCATCAGTTGGGGAATTGAGATTAGGAATGGTGATGTTGGAAGGATAAACAGGGAGAGTAAGAGCCGGGATGGACATAGGGGCAATGATCCCAGAGGTGGAGGCAGCCGCATTCCCAGTAACAATTTCCTGCGAATTTCGGAGTTCATTAATCTGGGCGGTAGGAATGGTAACTTGGGATGGATAATACCTAGCGAGGAAGTGGCCAGAACATTAGTGGATGCAGTGGAGGTTATGATTTTCTTTGGAACAACCCCTAAGGTACGGGTCTGGGATGATGGACCCTGGGAGGGATGCTTCCTCCGATGATTCCGGGAGGTGCTGCGACCCCGAGGTGGCTGGGTTACTTGTTGTGGAGGTTGGGGGTTGGAAGGGCAATAAGAGGAAGTATGAGCCATTGATTTACAAGTATCACATGGATTGGGTTTCCATTCATACTGGATTTTAAGATGATAAACAACATCTTCAATGGAAATGGGCACCATTTCAGGAAATTCAGAAGTGGTGGCAACTTGAATACACACCCTGGCATACGTCAACCTAGTTTTCGCAACAGTAAGCACATCCACAGATAACGGGGTACCAATTTTAGAGGCTATTTTAGATATACCTTCAGAGTTCCAACAAACCAGAGGTAAATCAATTATCCTGACCCAAATCGGAATCGTGGAGAAATTTTCACGAGTAGGTTGGAAGTCCTTTGACCATTTTTGAAAAACGAAAGGTTTTCCATGGAAGAACCAAGCTCCCTTGCTCCAAACCATTTCATAGTCTTCAGCATTAGAAAAATTAAAAAGGAAAAAACCATCGCTTAAGGCTATAAGCTGTAAGGTACCTTTGAGCTTCCAAATCCTCTTAGCAGTAGAAAGCAAAGCTTCATAGTAAGGTCGCTTACCAACTGAGTAACCAACCAGCGATAACTTCCATTCTGAAGCAGCAGCCGCAGTGTACTCTTTGTTGAAGGGAACAATCACCTCCGGAGTCTCGATGAGGGAGACAGGAAGTGAATCCAAGACCGGTTCAGGAGAGGCAGCAATAGAAGACCAGAGACGCTCAAGCGTCGAGGAAATAGGAGTTTTAGTGTTAAAGAGAGGATTTAGTGGAGGGAACGATAGTGAGGAAAGAGAGTCCATGAGAGGACAGGCTAACCAGCCTCCCGGCGAAGGCCGGAGGGACTGTGACGAAAGGCAAGAACAGAGGAAGAAGAACAAGGCGGCTAGAGCACCACCTTATCGCCAGCATGGGTTTGCACCACAGGTCTCTTAAGTAGGTGGGTTTTTAATACAATACACTGAATACAGTGATAGTTTATCCAGTTTTTTGTTATATTGTATGATGTGTTTTGTTAAAAAAAGCTACACTTTGTTTTATGGGAGAAATTATTGTGTACGCAATCCGTATGAGAGAAATTATTGTGTACGCAATCCGAACGTAGAGTAAGGTTCGGATGCTGCGTATTTACTGCTTATTTTACTGTGTATTTTTTGCTTATTTATTATGTATTTAGTGAGTATTATTTATTTGCTGCTTATTTGCCACGAAAAAATTATGTATACAAAATACACAATAAAATAAGCAGTAAATACGCAGCATCCGAATCTTACTCTGCGTTTGGAATGCATACACAATAATTTCTCGTTTTATGGGCTCTATAAGTGCTTATGAGCTCTTGGTGGTGCCATCTTTTTTATCAATCGCTCTTTAGGACTTCAATAAATTTAATGTTGAGAAAATATGAGGTCTCATGTAGATATTATAAGATTTAATATAGAGATTTTTCTTGATCAGTTGATGAAATTAACGTTGATTTATTTTAATTTTGGATAATTAAGATTTATACTAAATTTGATTTTTTAGGATACTTTCGACTAAAGATTAAGATTTATACTACATTTGCTTTGTATTGATGGTAACAAGTTAGATGTATAGATGTGGAATAAATATAAGAGAAGAGAGAGAAGAGGCTCTTTGAGTTATTGGTGATGTGGGAAATATGAGGGGTACCTAGTTTAGAGATTCAGGAAATATTATGTATATGGAATTAAAAATTACTATTTTGGTGGAGTTAAAAAAAAACTAATTTTCTTTTGTTGTGCCAATAAAATTTTGTTTATTATAAGAATAGAAAAGTTTTATTATATTAGATGATAATTTGGCTCTTAATAAAACATAATGGAGAAAAAGAATTAATGTAACTGATCACATGTGGTAAGATAAAGGTTTGATAGTATTGTTATTGTTGTTGTTGTTGTATGAGAGTAGAAGTTTTTTACATGCCTTTTAGTTATATGAAAGTTGTGAACAAATATGTTAAAAAGAATGAAAATATTTCTAAAGGAAAAAGAAAATTGCTGGTATGAATCACAGGTCTACAAAAATTTTGCTTGATTGGCATGATTCATGAGAAAACATTTAAATTGAAAATTTTAAAATTAATTCAGGATTAAATAAATTCCGTTTGCAACAAAATTACAGTCAAACTAAACGTATTAACGAGAATACATCGACACTACAAGTGATCAGATTTGACTCCACATTAAGCACATGAAATATATTTGAAAACTTTTAAATATTATCAAGGGACCAATGATATCCAAATTGACATATTTATAGTCAAATCGAACAACTTGGCGAGACAAATATAAAAAGCCTAATATCAATCGATTCTGACATTGCTAAGACATTCAAATGTTGGATACATGGCCTATGATCAAAGGGATCAATATGAATTGTACAATTGAGTGCTTTAAATTTTGGACAAATTAATCAAAATCTTCATCTCAAAAAATTTATAAATATATTTTCATTCTCTACAGAAAGGAGAGGTTCAATTTTCAACTGGGAGAACGAATGATTCTTGCATTTCTTATTACATTATGTGGGAAAATGAAGTGAAGAAAGATTAAAAAAAATAAGATTTTGAAGGACATATCTAATTAGGTATTAAAATAATATTATTTAATTATATATATATATATATATTAAGATGACAAAATTATTGAATATTTAAAAAGAAATTTTTTGAAGAATAAAATTTGACTTAGGATGTTGAGTAGTTATTATGACTTAACTAGAAATTATCAATGTATTATTTAAACAAAATTCAAATGTTCCTTAATTTTGAAAAATGTTATGACATGAAAAGAAATGCTATGATTATCATGTAACGATATGTTATTTGACTGATAAAAATAAACCCTATAGAAGGACAAATTAATGTACTTGTCCAAATAATCGTTAGACTAACCGTTGGCTTCTTTGATCAATGTATAGGAGATGAATGATGAGTTTGAATAATGCATGATAGCCAACAAAGCCGAACATCGTTCGGAGACCAACCAAAATGTGCCACATCACCGTATTGTTGTATACCACGGCTCAGTACTGTCGGTACCACTAACGTGGCTTCACCTGATTCACCTTCGGACGTAGAGCTACGTCCAGCTCTGCACAGAATAATTTCTCCAATTTCAAACAGTTAATAGCCAATTTCAAATAGTTTCTAATCCATAAAAAATGCATAGCAAATTTCACTAATCATAGACAGGCGAGGTACATTTAATACACAAGAACAGAAGGCATTTCAATAAATAAATAATCTAAATGTGCCTTCAGTGGCATTTAAGGCCTCCAAAAAGTATGGCCGTTCTATAGCCTATCAAACTTTTAGGTCAAGAACTGTGAAGATGTCCAATGTTCCCTGACATCTTCTCTTTATTTTTCCTTTTTTACGTGGATAGAACTTCTATCCTCAAGTGGAATTACATATATTTCAGACCAACAAATGAGCTTAAAACTAATACAATGGCAGAAAATGATAACTTGGAAGCTAGAAACTGGAGATGAAAGTTCCAACATAACCTAAACCCACAATAAAAAATGCAATAGACTGTAGATAGATGTATATGAAGTAGTAATCCTCTCCATAGGTCAGATCATAGCTTGCACATAAGAAGAGAAAGACAGCAAATCCAAGTTCTGCAAAGTAAAACCTGAGAATACAAAGTTTATATGAAATCAATTATATAAATGACAAATGAGGCTTCGTTTGGGACGGTTTTCTTACTAAATTAAAATTTTTGTACTAAAAAATTGCTTTAAGAAGCAGGAAGAAAGCTGTCTCAAACGAAGCATGAAACTATCTGTCTTATAAATCTGGCCTACCTGTGACTGAACTTTGGGGAAGCTTTTTCAATTAAAGTGGCGTCAGGCAAAAGTTTTTCCCTTATTGTACCACCAAGCTTCTCTGTAACAACCCATTCATTTGCACTGTCACCTTCACATAGACCAACGATGGTGGCTTTCACACGATGCATAGCCATAACATTTTCAAAAAGAATCCAAAAGGGTATTACATGTATAGAGCTGCACAAAAGAGGAGAAAAAATATGACGTATTGAGATCCAAAAAAAAAAAGAGTAAAAATAAGGCACTAAGAAAAGAGAAACCATGAATAATCTGTGAAATTTGCAAACCTAAAGTTTCTGATTGCATTGAGAAAGGTAATTGTCGTTGGAATGTAGACTACTGCCCATGCAGGAATGCTAATTTCTGGAATAAAGACAGACGCAGGAATGACAGCACAGTAGAGTGTAAAGGTGACAATATGCGCCACAACCTTCCGCACGAACAAAAAGCTATATAGAAGATAAAGCTTCTTCCATAAAGATACGTCCTGCTAAGACAGAGGACAAGCTCAAATTCCTTGTGGCAATATACAAACAGAGAACGCTTAAACGCAAGAGAAATTATTCTGTGCGGAGACCAACCAGAATGTGCCACATCAACGGTATCGAACACAAAGGTGATGTGGCGTATTCTGATTGGTCTCCGGACGACATTCGAAGTCCGCACAAATTAATTTTTCTAAATGCAGAGGCTTCACCTTTGTCATCCAAATCTCAAAGACTGATTTTCTCAAGAGATTTGCGGCCCCACACGTCCAGCGATGCTGCTGGTGACGATATGCACTAAAAGAACTAGGTAGTTCACTTTTGACCTAATGATCACAAAATTAACAACATTGAGTATTTTGAGCCCACAATGTTACAAACTGATAGAACTTTAGAGAATTATATGAGAGCAAGAAGAAACTCAGATAATCAGTCCTATAAATGTTTTCTCCTCTTAAACAATCGAGGACTTTCAATATTTAATTTGACTTGGCCTAAATCTCTCATTAAATTTACTGACTTCTTGCCAAGACAATAAATTTAATATAAGAGAAGGCTAGAGATGCCAATTTTTCTAGCACCACAATTTTTCATATGCAGCATAAAAATTCAAATATTATGCAGTGAATGCAATAGCAATATGCGAATGGTGCTTCATTGCACCCGCACTCGATTGGATATGAGACATAGCTGCAATCTTCCAATAAAAACCACGTTTAAGCACAATTACATGAGTTAGGTAAACGTATTAAAAAATGACAGACTAATAACCTTCAAAGCAACAAATAAATCCAATACCTTGAGATCACCAACGTACACGAACTTCCAACCTTGCAGACTTGCTCGGACAGCCAAATCCATGTCCTCTACTGTAGTTCGATCATTCCAACCTCCAGCGTCTTTGATGGCTGATATTCGCCAGACCCCTCCAGTACCTGCAAAGACAAAAAGCAATTTTGAAAAGACAATGGTTATCTCTTAAGAAAACTAAGCACATGAGAAATACAGGGAAGATAACTTTAATTGCTTAAGCATTAGGAAAAATGTAGAAGATGAACTAAAGCACAATAGGAATAGTCATCTGTTAGGGAACGATGAACCAAATACAAAGAGAAATAGTAAATCATGATTTGCAAAACACAAACGAACACAAGATTTACGTGGAAAATTCAAATATGGGCAAAATATATCCCGATTTTGATCTTGTAATCATATAATGCGTCAAAGAAGAGGTAGAAAAGACTAAATTGGGATTAGAAGTCGTCTTCTTTGTGAGAGTATTGCAGAGTGAGAAGGAGAACAAAAAATTGAAGGGTGGTGGAATCAGATGCTCAGTAGTTATACTAGAAATAGGGACCATAATAAGCATTGCATATCATATTTAACATCACAAGAGGTGAAAACTCTGCTCATGACTGGATTGCAGCATTTGTAGCCATTGTGAGAGGAAGCATAGCCATTGAAGATACAAAAGATAGATCTATGGGCTAATTTATCGAGGGAATGAGATTATAACCAAGGATTACACTTACAACCAAACCCCTTGAGATGTGAGTATTGGGGTGGTTTAATATAGAGCCATTGATATGGAGAAAAAATATCGGTTCTTTGAAAGGGTAAACGATTAATTAGGAAGACAATAGCTGTGTACTCAGAAAATTTGCACTCCTGCCCTCTCTGTATGAGAGATTTTAACAAAATGTTATGGTTCAAATTTTTGAAAGGCAGATTAAGTTTGAGATAAGAAACTATTTAGAGATTTTGCCCTCATTTTACAAGATTTTAAGATTTGATTTCAAGTTTCCCATAGGCATGAACCCCTATATTTAATTATATCTACTAATAACGAGACCACACTTTTGATTAAGGCTAGTCAATAGATAGACAATAAATACCGAGTGTATACTAGCCACAAATTTAATATAGAATTTGAAATTTACCACCTTGCTCTTAAAGATCTGGTTCCAGGTTTCCCATAAGCACAATCCCTATGGTTAATTACCTCTTCCAATAATGAGAGAACACTTTTAATTAAGACTAGTTGTTTGATAGAAACTAAATACTAAGTGTATAGTTACAAAAAACTTAATGTAAACTTTGAATTTTATCACTTTGCATTAAAATAGATGGTGGGGGAATGATAGCGAACCTCATCAATATCTCGTAGTTTTGTCAAACAAGGTTGATCATAGTACATAATATACTTTGTTAGATGAAGTGGTCAACTCGACCTGACTGAAGAACCATTGTCGGCAACCATGATTGCTTCGTCAAAGGATGTCTTATAGACATGAGATGTATATTTGTCTAACGAGAAAAATTTGAGTTGCCTTAGTTAATAAAACGCTTCATGCCCTATCGACTACACCCTTTGATTCGTTACTCAAAACTTTTTAGTCATTAGGTGGATCTCTGACATAGAGAATCCTGAAAGGGCGGTCTATGCTGTTGAATGGTATGAAGTGTTTTATCAATACCTGGCCCAAGTAGTTCACTTTGCCCAACACTTCGACATATCCTATATAAAGCATCACAAATAGGTCTTATGGGCTCCGAAAATTCGACGAGCTTCCCCGACCTATCCGTACCAGTCTCTTTTCTTGTTTGTTTATATTACGACGAAGAGTTTTAATGAGCTTATGTTCCGGGTGAATTTTCAGAAGGCATATTGGGGTTTAGATAAACACTACCGAGATATCCCCCCCCCCCATTTTACGAAGACTTTATGATCTGAGTTCTGGTTTCCTATAGGCTCAAGCCCCTATAATTAATTACCCCTCTTGATAATAAGAGAGAACTTTTGATTAAGGCTAGTTGTTAAAGAGGTCGCATAGGTTGTAAATCCAGCATATAATAACAACAATTTTAGGGTTTGAATTTTGGATATGAATTTTAAAGTTTGAGACTTAAAGTTTATCACCATAAACTTAAAATTGGAGATTGGGGGAATGACGAAGAGCCCAATCAAGATCTCATGGTTCCGTCGTTCCAGGCTATTGTGGTCCCTTGTTTACTTACTAAGAGGAGGTAATTGATCCAACCTGCGCGGGTCAATAAATGAACTCATGTTCAACTCCTATCCTTTAATGTGGATCAATAGGAGTCGACACGGCTCGAGCTACCAAGTGAATATATGATTATGGCGTTAACCAGAATATTCGTTTTACATATCATGTTAGGCCTTCAAAGACTTCAAAAAGAAAAATTCACCAACAGAACATAAAAGCCAAAGACAAACCCGATCATCTGTCGACAGGTAGACAGAGTCGACAAGGTTCAACCGATAAATACAATTGCCCATAAGTACCCCAATAATGGCCGTGTTGAATGTTTATGTCAACCGAAGGGGATCAAATATTCAAAATACCCTCAAACTTTTACAAAATACAAATATTTTTAAATGACATCATTACCTCGATGATAACTGTGTTGATGAAAAATCTCAACCGAAGGGGTCAACTAAATATTCCAAATGCTACTCAAATGCTTATAAAATAAAAAAAAAATTACAAAAAATTCAAAACGTTTAAAATTGAAATTCAACCAAAACACTTAAAGTGAAATTCATCAACTCTCCGCAACAATTTGTCGAGGTAGGTAAATTTGAAAATTACTTCAGCTCACGAAAGGCTAATGTCTGGCCGAGAATATCAGTAAGATTCATTCTAAATCATCTCTTGCCAGTAAGGACATGGCACGTGTCCTCTAACCAACGGTTTCGAACAAATGGCATCGCAGGTAAACGGTTATGACCGGGGCACTCTGAACCAGGTGGTTTGTCGCCAAATGACATAACTAAATTAAGATTATGACCAGAGTCTGTATGCTCCCCAATGGCATCAAATCCTTGAGATATGAATCAATAGGATATAATCGATAGGGCATAATGCCTTCTGTTAGCTAAGGTGGATTCAAATTTATCACCTTAGATAAATACCCACCCCAGGTCTACAAGGTACCCTTGGATGACGCAACCCATGGCTGCCGACAAGGATCATTCTCTTAGGTTAGGTCAACTACCTCCTCTGACTAAGTAGACCAGGGATCACGATAGCCTGGAATGGCAAAACTATGAGATCTAGATCAGGTCCATCATCCACTCCCCCACTATCCGCTTTAAGTGCAAGAGGGTGAAGTTTTTATTCTAAATATCAAATTTCAACCATGTTGCTACTATATGTTGAATATTATGTATCTAAGGATATGATGTATTCATTTGATGACTAGCCTTAATCGAAAGTTCTCTCCCGTTGTCAGGAGGGATAATTAACTATACGGGCTTACGCCTATAGGAAACCATAACTCAGATCATAAAGTCCTCGCAAAATGAGGGTGAAATCTCTGGGTAGTGACTTATCTTCAAACCCAAGCTGCCTTCCCAAAATTTACCCCGGAACTTATCCGTTAAAACTCCCGAAAGCAACAGGGAGTCGGGGCGTGAATTTTTGGAGCCCACACAATGACTCGGTTAGGAGAGTAGATGTATTAGTTTTGGCCTATGTTAAGAAAGCTAGAGGTAGACCTAAAAAGACTTGATTAGAGAATGTCAGAAATGACATTTTCTTATTAGATTTAAATAAAAATTTGACTTTTATCATAACATAATGGAGAAAAAAGATTAATGTAGCTGCCTCTCATATAGTGGGATAAAGATTTGATGTTGTTGTTATTGTTGTTTTAGAGGAGAGTTCTTTGTAGGAACAGGAGAGTGCATTGTAGATGATGATGGTTGATTCATAGTTATCACAGAAATTTTCTAGAAAGAAAATACAAGAAGACTAGCACTGATATTTGTGGAAAAGAGTGATGTTGGGCATTTTCCTCTAATACCATGATAAAGTAAAGAACGGGAAAGAAATACATAAGAGAATCGCGCAACGACCAAACTCTAATTAATGAGTAACCATGCGTTGTAATGTATATTTGAGTTCATTCTTCAACTGAATGATTGATTGTAGATTGTAAAAGCTTCTCCTTTGTAGACCAAATCTCTGCATAGGAATCTAATCGAGTAATAGGAAATAATAGTAGCGCAGTTGTGGAGAATAATTGGGCATTTTGCACGAATACCATGATAAATTAAAGAATGGAAGAGAAATACATTGGAGATAACTTTCATTGCTAAAGCATTAGGAAAATGCAGAAAATGAAATACTGCATAATAGGAAAAATAATCCTTTTTTTCAACAAAAAGGTAAACCTGATGAGATTTGCATACAAAGACTATTTTGCCCTGTTTCTATTGAAGATAGCAGAGGTGGTTTCACTTCAATGGTTGGGATTGATTAAGTTGTTTGTATAGTGTGGTGGAGACTAGAAGAGAGAGGTAAGGACTGCTGTTGGTAATGATGTTATTAATCTCTGGCTTTTTCAGAAGAAATTAATGCGCCTTTGAACAAGGATTCATATTTGGATGTAGTTGCAACTTAATTTTTGCCAAATAATTTTAAAAAATCAGTTTTCTCCGAAAATCAACTTGGATTATGACTTTTAGGCTAAATAAATATCAAGATTTAAAATTTCTAAGTACCAAGTTTAATTTTTAATGCATTACAAAAGTAGAAATTAGTGAACGATTCTTGAACTCTAAAGCAGAAAATTTCTTTTGTCCTTGCAATGCACAGGGTATTATTGCTCCTAAAAACAACGAATTTAAAGATATTAATTTTCTAGTATGCTTCACTAAGTTTTGTTAACAAATATATTATCTGAAAAAATGGATGGGCCAGGGTTAGCAGCAGCTACCATTAAATCCAAAGAATGCATAAGTCGATGAGCCAGCTTCCTGCTCCACTTTAAAATGATAATCTAGTGTCATCCTCTGTATTCTTGTCATCAGGCATTCATATGGGTTCACTGCAAAAAGCGCCCGTGAAATGCCACGTCAGCAACTTCCTGTCAATTGAAAAATACATATATAAGAATGAATTTAATCTTCCTATCTAAAGAACAAGCTCAGGAAAAGAACAAGTTTACGTTTGGCCCTCAAGATAATGCTTCATGAAGAGGTGTCACGTAGAAGATATCGTATGTGCAAGTTCATGTGGAGCTTGCTAGAGCGAGGCGAATGATTTGCTAAATGAAGCATTATCGACTATAAAAGGTAGAGACAGAGAAAGATGAAGCAAAAAATGAGAAAAAAAAAAGGGACAAATGGGGAACATTTAGATGGTGGGGTGGCGTTTCTCAAGGCCAGAGTTGGAAAGGCCTTACTTTTCAAGCAACCAAAAAAAAATACTAGTTTTAGCCAAAGAAAAAAGAATTGCACTTAACATTGAAATCATCCTTATTTACAAAACTAATATATAGATCATTTTTTAAACTACCAAACAACCCATATATTTATACATGCCATTATCAAACTATTGAGAGTTTGACAAGCCAAAAATATGAGTTTGAATTTTATTGTGAAATTTGATATTTCAGTGAGATTTTAAAAAATTGAGAGAAGACGGTTTTAATTTTATAAATAGTCAAAATATGAATGTTTTATGTAAGAAATTGCCCACAAAAAATCAAGAAGCACCAAAAATGAATTGGTATAGCCATCATTATCTCCATATGAGCATATTCATTAGTTCTTCTTCCAATACTACAACCAATTTGGTGGTAGTATCCTGAAGTACCTAACAAAAAACTTCCAACTAGGCTTCAAAATAGAAATTGAACGCCAAAAACCTATCATACAGAATCAAGATTTGTATCTTCAGAAAAAAAAAATGCACACAACTTATTGAAACGGTTGAGTCGAGTTTCAAAAGTACAAAATCAACATAATTCAACATCTAAACAATATGGTGCTTATGGGTGTAAACGAACCATGTTAATATGCAAGTGGTTCTATTCACGACTGATTCATTATTTTTTATTATTTATGTTTAAATAGTGCTCACTCATGTTTGATGTTTCTCTATTTTAGCAATTAGCATAGTTATTTGTTATTTAAGTTGTCCATATTCGACTTGCTAATAGAACATTAAGGTTAACGAGCTATTTTTGAATCGAACATGAACAAACAAAAACAAACATATCAAACTAAATATGATTTGCATTGTATTTTAAACCACAATCAAGAAAAAATTAAAAATATATATAATAAACAAACAGATTGTTAAGTAATTATTTCAGAGATAAATTCTTACAACAAAAATAAAAATACATTGCACATTAATTCTATGCATACTGAATAATAGAGTAACGTTATCCACTTTCAATTTACAAATTGGAATCAAGCAGAACTTTGACTTTGAATTTTGTACAAAATAACACAAGAAATATTATCTATACAACTCCACAAAATATATCATACTTGTGAAGTTGCATAGGCTTCAAATCTAGGACAATATCCATCTTGGTTAACTTATTATTTGGGAAAACACAATATTTAAAGCCAAAGACATGAACATAGCATTGTCATTTATTCCTTGCCATAACCAAAAACAAAATCAGCGAGTAAATTAGAACTGAATGGAACATTTGCCCATATAGAGAGTGTTGGCTCAAGAAAAATGGCACGAATGCACGAATCCCGCTTTGCAGCCATAGGATTCCATTTCCCTTAAGTCAGATTAAAATTAATCAGATTTTCCCTTAGTATAGTATTAGGGTTTAAAAATCTGAGGTTCTTACTTCCTATGAGTGCAAGCACTCATAGTTAATTACCCCTCTTACTGCGTAAGAGAGAACTCTCGACTAAGGATGAATAATTTTTAGGTGTTTAGCCTCAATTGTGGAAAGATAGAGGTAAATCCGATCAAGATCCCATGGTTCAGTCGTCCCGGATATACCGTAGTTCCAATCCACCAACACTAACAATCATTGATCGTAGTGTCCAGGGAATATGATTAGCAGCCATGGGTTGCCTCCTCTCAGGGATCCCGAGTAGACTGAAGTGGTTAGATGTGGGTTTTAATTTTGTTAGGTGTTTTAGGGTTTACATCTATTAGAATACCCAGAGATTTATTTAGTTTGAGATTTATGACTTCGTTTAAAAGTAACCCAGAAATTTAGTTTGGAGCAGATCTTATGGCTTCTTTAGGAAGTAGCACAGGGATTTAGGTTTAGTTTGGAATTTACGGCTTTCGTAGAAAGTAACCCAGGTAGTTAGATCTAGTTTGGGACTTACAACTTTCGTAGAAAGTAGCCCGAGATTTGAATTTGGAATTGGGACTTATTACTCTATTTACGAGTTGCCCAAAGATGAGCCTTAGACTAGGATGCCCAAAAGTTTAAATTTGGCTTGAATTGGATTTGGATTAGGTCTTAGTGCTTCCTTAGAAGTTTCCTAATGATGGATCTTACGACCTAGCACTTTAAGCTAAGTGGCCCGAGCCTGGGTCTTACAACCTAGCTCTATAGACTAGGATGCCAAATGAGGGGTTTAAGGTTGCATTATCACCTAAATATTTTCCTCAAATGTTGGACTTATGGCTTCTATTAGAAGTAGCTGAGGGTTTTAATTGGGGGTTAGGAGTTAGGTCAATTTTTACTTAAAACTTCCCCTAAGGTCGGGCTTACGACTTTCCTACGAAAGTTGCTAGGTTGGGTCTTACAACCTAATTCTAATAAATCAGACTGCCCAATAATTTAAATTTGATTGTTTGGATAGTTGCTTGTACAATGTTTAAAAATTTGTTCCGTATTTATTTGAGTTGATTTGAGTTTATGATTCTGACACTTTGTTAGTGTTTTAGTTGTTCTGTGCTCGTAGGTTCTTTCCTACTACAGTAGTCTTACAACCCATTTTTTAGCACTGTTACTCTACTAGCTTTTTTCATACTTAGCTTTCCTTGCTTTCCAATACTCTGTTCTACCTGTAGTAGCTTAGATTTATCAGCGTTCATTCAATTTGTTCATGATGTATTGACTCTTCATATGTTTGCTTGTAGGTGTTCGTAGCCAGTTGTTACAGTAGTTGAGGCTTGCAGTTGCAGGAACTCATACAAGAGGAATATTAGAGTGCTTGCAAAGGGGTTTGAAGATTTCTGAGTTGTTTGTACAGATTTTGGGAGACCTGAGTGAGTTGGAGAGTTGGTGAGGATTGTGTTGAGAGTTTGTATTATTATTGGAGAGTTTTGTTGTTTAAAAAGCTTGTACATACATTGGATTAGTAAAGATGTTGATTTCTTATAACATGTTTATAAAAATGAAATTACAAAGTCATTTTATCATAAAATGTGAGTTTTTGTTTCCAACAATTATATATATATATATATATATATGATCAATGTGAATAATTTTAAAATTTTTAGCTTAGGTCATCTCCAACCGAACGCTAAACGAGTGTATGGAGTCGTTCCGTCGCTCCAACCGAACGCGAAAATTTCCGCCATTTAATCGCAGGTGAACAGTGCGTCGCACTGTTCACTTACGCCATTTTTTGCTCTCAACCGGAAAAACGCGCGAAAGGGAGAGCGATCGTTACCTTCTCAAAAACACCTAAAATGGCGTTCGATTGGAGCATCACCGTGCCATTTTGGAGTTTTGCGTTACTTTGCCGTGAAAAATGAAGTTTTAGGTTGGAGATGCCCTAGCTTAGAAAGCAAAGAGAGCACTCTTTCAACTTCAGGCAGTAAGCAAGTATTTATCATTCTCAAGAAATCTATTTTACCTTCAACCCGCAAGAAAAATTCAGAGACTTGAGGAAGGGAAGTTGCCTAAATGTGGAAGAATTTTTCCCTTTCATGCAATGTTTCAATTTAATTTTTTTTTTATTGAAGATCCCATTGACGTTGTTCATCCATATTGCACAACTTGCACTTATGCAATATCATATGCTTAGATTCTTTAGATAATTTTATGGCTGAAGGTTATCAAACACCTTCTATAAATTGATGTTGCCTGAATAATTACAACTCCAATGTACGGTCAAATCTATCAATCTCCACAGTAGATGTTTAATTAATTATCAAGTTAATTAACAAACAACTCAATATTATAATTTCATCAATTAATTTAATCGGCGAATTAAATGCTCTCCAATTTCAAAAAATTTCTTAGAGATCTATGTTTTTTTCCAAAATTTGCTAAGTCCAGAATTTTCAAGAAAATTTCGACAACCTCCCGGCATCACCTCCCCCCCTCCCCCGTGCGTGACTTCGGCCTCTGACACATGCACGATCGGGCTCCCTTTCTCCTTCTCTTTGTTATAGCACATAATATATAATATATATATTATATATTATGTACTATAACAAAGAGAAGGAGAAAGGGAGCCCGATCGTGCATGTGTCAGAGGCCGAAGTCACGCACGGGGGAGGGGTTCGGCGTCGGGTGTCTTCGGCCTGTTGGAGTCGACCGGCGGGGGGCGGAGAAGGAGAGTCGGACAGCCACGGGAGTCGAAGGAGCGAAGTACGAAGTCGAACGGCAACAAGGAGCCGAGGGAGCGACCGTGCGCTCCCTACTCTCTTGCGAAGCAACGTCGCTAAACAGCGACGACGAGAAAGAGAAGATGAAAGGCGAACCCTAGACCTCTCTTACGAAAACAACGAAGTCGGACAGCAACGTCGAAGGAGTCAGAGCGAGAGTTGCGTGATTTCAAATGTCCTCCTTTGCTCTTTTCCCGTCGTTTTTTTAAGAGATGAGCGACGGTTATTTAGCGAACAGTTGCTTGGCTTCGTGGTGTGGGGCCGCTTGGAGGCAGGTATGTTTTGAATTTTTTTTTTCTGTATTTTTTTTTTATAGTCAACTGAGAGTTTGTAGATTAGAGTCATAGACCACAATATCTACCACAATATCTAGCATAGTTAAAATACGGAGCAGTAGTCAAACCAACAAGAACAAAACAACACATCCTTTTGACTACATATTTGCAAATAATATTAGCAAAACTAGATTACTTCTTCGGATATGAACTA